CTGGATGGGAGATGGGGTGGGGGGTGGGGGGGCTGGGAGGAAGGAGGGAGGGAAGTTAGAGCAGAGTCTTAGCTGCCCTGGCTCTCCTCACTTGGGCAGCAGCTGACACTTCCGTAGCTAATATTGTAGCAGTGCAGGCTCTGACTACTGCACCTGAGAGACAGGCAGCAGTGCAGACTCCCCAAGGGACCTCTTGGTGCCCTGTTTGTGCTTACTTCTGGGCACCCAGCTATGCCTCCCATGGCAAAGCCTCCCGGAGGCATCATAGCAAATACCTCTGTGAGGAGGGAGTTATCCTTGTGCTGTCTCTAAGTCTGTGCCTGTGGCTTGTGCCCTGCTTGCCCCTTCCTAGTTACACTATTGCTGAAGACTGAGGGAGAAGCTGGAGGTTTGGGTGCTCACTGACTGTGGGAACAGAGCAAGTACTATATTTTGATTTTTCTTGTTCACTGAAAATTCTGCTGTGGCACTTTGTTGTGGACTGTGCTACATTTCTGAGAATAGGATGGTGCAGCACATTTGACTTTTGCTGACTGTGTCATCACCTTCAGTCTCTCATTACTGGGGTATGTAGTACTCTGATCTACATATCACCCTCAGTTTGCCTAAAAGTATACTCAGATCAATGCTAGAAGTGAATCTCATTTTAAGGAGGAGCAGGGCTGAGGGGTAATATACACTCATACATGCTCTTATTTGCTGATATGATATAGTCCTAGCAGACTGTACCTTTAACTTGCATCTGGTCATAAGGCTTATTTACATTACACTAGTAATACAAGCTGCATAAGGTCTTAATGCAAAAGCACAGAAGAGAAAAGAAAGCAATCTTACACTGGAAAAATATCTAAATTACACATACAAATTTAAGAGAAAATCTTAGAGACCAAGACCGTCATATCTGGAAGTTAAATATACCACTGTCCACTTGCCAAAATGCCTTAAATACACTGGGAGATACATTTCTGTTATTCTCTTATATAAATAATATTTCATGTGATCAATCTGCTACTCTTAAGGCAAAAACAACAATAACTTCTGATATATATTACAAGGATGCGTGTGGTTAGGAGGAATGGGAAGCTATAGCACTGTTGTAATAAGAGTTATAAGTTTTTAAAAAGTTTTCTGCTTTTAAAAATAATTTGTATTTGCCAAAATTGGGGTGGGAGTAAAAGAGAAAGCACAAAATACTAGTTTCTTCCCCAATTGTTATTGAAAATGTCCCAGCCTTACCACTTATTCTGAAATGTCCTATTGGTTTTCTCCATCAAATCCTGTTTTTCCCCTAATTTTTCATTCCAGTGAAACAGCTCTTGGCAATCACACAGCCCCATATGTTGATACTGGCAGGCAAAATATATCCAACAGCTGCTACATCCTTCCACCTCACAAAGATTTCACCTGGAAGGGCTCTGCTGCCTTCATCCTGGCTCTCACTCTTCTTATTTCTTCTGTCTAGCACAATGCTTCTTTTCCAGCAGGGAAGGCCAGCAAGCAGATCCTTCACAGATCTACTACAGAGCTGCCGTCTGAACCAGCCTGAAGGGGCTGCCCTGACAGCATTGTGGAAAGAATGCTTCCACATAGTAAAAACAAAACTCTTTAGTCTGACATCCTGTGACCACTCAAGCAGTGACTAGTGGCAAGTTGTCAAAACTAGGTTAATCACAATGAGAGGATTTCCATGCTGCTCATTTAAGTGTCATAAAAAGACACAATGGTTCTGTATTGCATTTCCTTAGACTACCCATCAATTGGATTATTATTTGAACAAATCTAGTCATTTCCATGCAGGGCCCATGAAAATAAGGAAATAAATAAAATCAAGACATGAGGTTTATTTGCTAACAATAAAAATATGATTTTAAAGGTTTGGAATGAAAAGAAAAATGATACATAATCAAAACATAACACCACTGAAGGACAAGGGGAGTAACGGAGAACAAGAAAGAAACCTGTGGCTCTGATTATTTATAATTGGAACTAGAAATATGGGGTTGCCCAATTATACTGCCATCAACGGTCCTCTTCTCTTGCAACACACAGTATTATATTCATGAGTCCTCTGATTACGCACACATTATATAAGACTAGAAGAATGTGAAAAACCCATTACCAACAATCAGTTCTTTGTACAAAGGCACACACGCACACACACACACACAAACCCAGCAAAACCCAGCATTTCCTACCGTTCTAATTGCTGTTGGGATTCCAGATTCATCTACCGGGCCAATCCCTGCATAATGTGGTGCTTTAATCACTGTGACTTTCTTCTCTTCCTCTGAAGATCTACAGATTGGTATTGTACTGGTGGTGGTGCTGCTGCCAACAGCCTGAGCATGCTGTGAGTATGTCTCTGTGGATTCTGTAAAGATAATGTGACAGCACGTTGTATAACAATATAATAATCATAGTTAACAGTTATATCATGCTTTCTATTTTCTAAATGTTACACAAATATTCATGCACAAAGTAATGCACAAATATTAATGTACCCAAATACAACATCTCATAATACTTATACATTATGAGGATTTCCTTGTACTCAAGGAATTATGCACATATTATTTTATTAAATGCCGTGCTGAAATACTAGTGTATTAGATTGGAGGCATTTTTTACATGATGAAAGATGAAAAGAAAATTTGCTTATTTAGAGTTAAGATCAGGAAAGAGAGGATGATAAGATCCAAAAATAAGATAGTGGCAACAGGCACATTTTCCTAAACTAAATTTGCAGCTTTGCCATCTATATGTTTAACTATGCATTGGGGTGAACTGAACTCCTTTCCTCCCCAAAGCATTGCATAATACAGAATATTACTATTACTGATGCACAGTAATGCATTTCATCAAGAATTTCATAGAAGTTTTTAATACATGTACTGGGTCCATTAGCATGCGATATGTGAGAAAGTTAACTAGATAAACACTATTAAGTGTTACGTTATTAACTCTGGAAAGCTAATGCATTATCAGCAGGGAGCCTGGTTTTCTTTGATTTAAAAAAATCCCCAATTTTTGGTCAAAAAAAAGTAACCCCGAATCCACATTTTTCCATGATTAAAATGAAACACCACTAATATATAGATAAAAATAGCAACCCCAAATCCACATTCTATATATAGTGGTGTTTCATTTTAATCACGGAAAAATGTGGATTTGGGGTTACTTTTTTAAAACCGAAAATTGGGGATTTTTTTAAATCAGAGAAAACCAGGATCCCTCATTATCAGGACTTGAAATTTGTTTAGTTTTTTTTGTATGCTCTAAGTCCAGATTCTTTTCATTCTTAGGGATACATTAAATAGCTTGACGTAAGTAATATATAAAGTGCACATCAATAACTTTGGTCACGTCAGCAGCATGTCAGAGAGCTCCCTGCACTAACTTCAGTAAAAGGCTGCAGGTTGTTGTTGACTTTTAGTGCTGTAAATAGTTTTGCAATTCTACCCCAACTCTTAACTATTAAAATTATATAGCATGGTTACCATCATCTATTGCTAAAATTCATAGCAAGTCATTACTTCAGAAAAAAAGAACCAAAGGTAACACAAGAGATCCTGTCCTATCTCAAAGCCGTGTGTCTGAATGTAACCTTGCATGCAGGGGAAGATCCTTTGTAACAAGGAAGATCCTTTAGTTATTCAGGCTGCAGATTTCAGTAAGCAATTAGTGGGCAGTTAAGACTAGCTAAGCATGGTATGCAACAGCAGGTACTATACTACCCACATTTTGCTGCAGAATGGCTGGAGGTGCAAAGCTAGATTTCCTAACACTTTGTGCAGATTATGATTTCCTCTAATGCTGGGGTTGGCAACCTATGGCCCATAGGCTGGATTTGTCCCATGGAACCTTTGAATTTGTCCTGAAGATGTAGGGCTTGGGTGGCAGTCGGCGGTGGGAGGCTTTGGCTGTGGGTGCTTTGCCCTTCCCACCATGGAGGTGAGTGGCAGTGCCAGTAGGGTCCTAGAGCCCTCCTGTCTTCCCACTTCTGACCTGGGAGAGTCGTTCCAGCCAGCAGCTGGAAAAGGTTGCCTAACCGTGCTTTAATGACCTATTGATCACTGCCACAATTTTGGATGTTTAACCAGAAAATTTGTAACAGTACACACATACACACTCAAGACTAGATATTTTTTCTCCTTGTTTACTGTAAAGATTTTGAATTAGATGATGTCTTTTCACTTATTTCTTCAAGTTTTAAAGTTATCCATCATCCAGTATTATGCATGGCTGGTGAAATGTATCTCTGAGTGTCAAATATCAAAATATTTAGTTTTTTTTCAAATACGCTGCTGTTAAACTTAGAAAATTGTGGGAAACTAATTATACATTCCTGCGTGCCCCAGACTGACGGCATTGGGGGGATGTTTGAGTGTGCAAGGATGAGAGGCCAGACCATAATTTCGTGTGTCTTAGAAACTTATCACCACCAGAGAATTAAAAATCCACCAGAGAATTAAGAGAAAATGCTCTTAAACACTGTGTTCAAAAGAGATAGCTAAGGGCACTCTCTGAAACATGGTTAACACATGCTAACGTCTATGAATTTGGGGAGGTCAGTTTTTTAGAACAAGCCTGGTATTTTTGTGTTTGCAGATATCCACATGCTCCATTTCTAAACTTCGCACTTGTGCACAGATGGCAGCATTTATAGGATTCATAGACTTTAAGGACAAAAGTAATTTATTCAGGCCTTCTGTATAGCACAGTAGCAAATCCCATGTGTATGTTCAAATTTGTTGTGCATATGTTCTCTTTGAATATGCATATGTTGATAAAAAAGGTACACAGAAATAACTGCACGCATAAAGCTAAAAGCAGGCAGAGCTTTAAGCTTTAAACTTTCTTCAAAAGTTTGATTTCAGGACCAAGGCTTTTTAGCCAGAATCCTTAATAATAAATTGAAAGTTTGCTTTTATAAGTGTTCTCAAAATCATTTTGATTGTAAGTTCTATGAGGCAGGAATCATATTTATATAGAGTCATAAAGTATGACATATACTCATTTAATTCCTAAAAAAACTCATAATTTTACCAGTCAATCATGCTATATGCTTTTTAAAAACTTAAGTCCTCATCCTATGAGATGGAAGTTCAGCAGATGAATAAAATTCACCCAATTTCTTAATGCTGATAAGGGACACTGAAAGGGATTTTGATTTTTATTCACAAATGTCTGAGTCATAGTATTTTCGCCCTTCAGTAAAGCTAGTGGAATGACTGCAAGAGGTCATTTTTATATGTATAAGAATTTTACTCTTAAAATAGTAATGCTTAGTAGTAAAACCAGTTCAAGAATGTTGCTGTGTCTAACTCTGTCTACTTTATTGTTTCTTGTATTTTTCCCAAGGGACAAGAATAGATAATACCTTCTTTCTTTAGGTGGAATGCTCTATAATTGTTTGCAGTTCTTGCCATGTGAATCAGAACAGGTTGCATACTATATAAATTAAACATGTGAGAGACTTACCCATCATCCTGCCATGCTGCATGATAACAATGTTTGAATTGAGTGAAGCTGATGGAGGGTAAGCTGAAGAAGGGGAAAAAGGCCTTTGAAAATGACTCACTGGACTGGCAGCAGTGCCAGAGTTCCCATTCACTGTTATCTGGGCCTGGGAGAAACAAAACAATATCCCATTAAATTACACACAAAACTCTCTGAATACCATTCCAAACAAAGGGTGGTGTAAGGCTGTCAGCTACACAACAATTACCAGTTGTCAGGTACCTAGCCATAATGGGACAGATATTCACTGAAGTACAAAACTCATCAAGGGGAGTGGAATGTGCCCCTTACGCAACATCTCTCTCTCCCTTTTGCCTCTCAAAGTGCTGTGTCTGAAGCATGCTGGAGTCACGGGAAGGTGACAGAGGGATCATAGTCAAGGCAGCAGGATGAGCTGCACAGACAAGATCTGCCTGGATTTGACATCTGTATAAATAAAGATGGCAGTAAAATTCTCTCTCATAATGTGACAAAGGCAGCCTGTCGTAGATCACTCCCTCTAAAGGGATGTTTTCCCTTGTTCCACATGCTTACCTCCCATTGATATTAATAGGAATTTTGTGCGTAGACTGAATGGAAAACTTTAATTACGAATGTCTAGACAGAGTGAGCCAAACCCTCTTTGAAAACTGGCACTTAAGTAGAGGAGGCGACTATGCAGAGGTGGGGTTTAATGTATACTATGGCACAAAAAGTCACAGTGATGAAGTTTGTAAATCAAACACCACAAAAGCTGAGTATGTTGTCAGTTCAATAAGGGACTCTGACATCACAAGCCACTTGAGCTTTGGTCATAGGAGATTTTTCTAAGACAAGTCCCTGTTCCATTTGCTTTTGATTTCCAGAGCTTTACTGTAAAACCAAGTCTGGCGAGTTCTTTAAGGACTGCAGAACAGACCCTGAGAACAGACTGAATTTTTAAAATCCCAGGAACTTAATATCATCTAAAAAAAGATGGCATGGCAGAAATTTTCCATCTCACTTCTTTTTAAGTGCAAAGTTATGAGCATTGAAGACCTACATCTAGTTTTGTAACAAAAGGGAATAATTACAGTAGCCTGGTCTTGTGCGATTGCCTTGCTAACAGCTATGACTGTGAAATGTGACAAAAAGGGTCTGAAGGAGCAACAACCAAGGAACAGACACGATAAATGTGAACAAAGAAAAAGATAAATGTTAGGCTCTAACGAAACCGCTAATTTTCTTCTGCAATACAAGAAGAAAGTATTTTTGGGATGGGTAATTTGATATTGAATTTTTCACGTCAGCAGCCCTCTTATGATGTAAATGAAAAAAATTTTTTGTGTGTTTTAGTAGCAGCCAGCCTCCCCTCCTCCCAGCTTCTTAACATATGTCATCAGAACACCTGGATGTATTAAGAGCCTTTTGCTTTAGAGCCAAATTGAGTAGGTAGCTGAAATTCAGGTTGTACCAATGTGCCATTAGAACCTGGCTGTTTAGATTTGTTCTTCCACCTTATAAACTCAGGAACATAAATGTAAAGACTTTATTAAAACAAAGCACATCTTTTAAATATTTTTCTGAATTCTTTAAAAGAGTTATTCATTATAAAACAATTTAAATAAATGAAGGCTGCAGTTTTCAGAATGCTGTATCACAGTGCATGTGTACGCATGCTTAATTTGTCCTCATAACTAGTACTTGTATCTGTATAAATCAGGTGCTTACACATACAAGTATCAAGTAAAGGTCTGCCTATTTGTACAGGAAAACCCTTATTTTAGCCCAGAATCCTGATACATTGAAAATCATGTCATTACTGGCTAAGCTGATTCTGTGGGGTATAGTTAAAGGTGGGCAAAAAATGACGCAGGGACCAAAACAAAACAACGCCCCCCTTCAGATAGATGCAATGTGTTTTGTTTACCCTGAAATTAAAAGTTTTGTTTATGGGTAAGTTAACTCTTTGGGACCTTTAAAAAATATTCATGAAACTTATAAGGTAAGGGTGTCCCATCTAAAGCCATTGAGGCCCACTGGGGCAGTGGAGGAAGGGCTCCACTGTTTCTTTAACCTTGGCATGAAAAGGAGGAGATACAGTCAGGAGATACAGTCGAAATTTAAATACAATAAAATGCTTGATTTTTAAAAAAATGTCATTTTGCATATTCAAAATTTTTCTCATTTTTCCCCAGGTTAAAATAGTTACTAAAAATAAACCTGAATTGGCCCATGGTTTTGGTCCTTCAGAAACTGCATTTCCATTAATTTACTATTCCCCTCAAAAAACAGTTCATAGTTCATAGTTTCTAGGGTCGGAAGGGACCTGAGCAGATCATTTAGTCCGA